AAATGAACGGGGCCTGTAAGCCCTAAGTTTTAGGCTTTTAGGCTGAATGTCCGGGACGGGCCCTGTAGGCCCGTGTGGCTACGCAGTATGCCACATTTGTGAGTGTGTGAACTTGGGGGATCATTGAGTATGAAAGGCCATGTGAAAGCTTGGATCATTGCACATGGCAGAACCGTTCTCAGAAAACTGAGCGGGTCATTACCCTTCCAGGTTATCAGCCAGATTGTAGCATCCCTACTGGCGGACCATTAATCTGGTCTAGACTTTCCCGGTCCTTGACTTCCTCATGCGAGGCGTAATCTGTCTTCCATATTCTTTAGCTACACTCGTTAGGTCCACAGGTGACATTCATCAAAGTGATATTTTCTTTGGGCATTGAATTGTAAAAAACAAAGCCTGGAAAATTTCAAATTGTCACACATTCTGATGCCCCTGGTTAAGGTGCCATACATATCAAGGGAAAACAATAACTCAAAACACCACTCACATGGATGGGCAAAATGCTGGGATAGATACAATACCATGGTCATTTTTCCAATGGCAGGATATTATGGTGTCATAATCCTGCTGAGGTTGAGTCAATCAATTCCTCAACGTCAGCATCTGACAAATGAAGTTGGGAGGGGCAGAGGGACATGGCGGTAAATTCACAAAACTAGCGCCTTGCACTTCCTTCAGCATGTAGACATGCATGCACATTATGGAATAACTCAATGAATGAGAACTTGACCACCCTTGTTAGCATTCCTCTTTTTCCTCGATTCCTGAATTGTTTCCCTGACTCTGGTCCTGGAGTCTCTGACCATTTGTTCTCGTTTTAAGGATGCTGTTTTTGCTATTGCATTGAGCCTTGACTTGAACTCTAGTGCCTCTTGTCTTGCCGTTTGGGAAATCCTTTGCTCCTTCGATAGCAGAGGTGCCTGTTCTCCCCACACTCCACCTACTGGAGCAGTTTTCCTCGAAATAGGTGAAAGGAATGGAAGGAAGGAGTTCTGTGCCATGTCCGAGGCTCTCTTCAACCCTGTGTCATGAGTCAGTGGGGCCTTTGTGCTGCTGCCCTTGTCATTCACACTGGTCTTAGAACGGGGGCTAATGTAACCCATAACATGGATGAGACCCGATACATGGAGCTTGAGATCGTGTGGAACGCCGGCAGAAACCACAGACATTCCCAATGGATAAGAGGACCGTGGACTGGACAAGGAGGGAGCAAGGAAGAGTGTGTGCTGAGCATCATTAGGCAGCACAAAACGGTCCGCATCATTCTGGTCCCTCGTTCTGTGGTTTATGTCGGCTGCAAAATCTAAAGCTCCCTTTTTAGCTTTGGCAGCCATGTGCCCTATTCCTTGGGCATGCACCTTTCTGAACTGCCGAGGTGGGCTTGTTGCAGGTCTCTGATTGGTAATCCTTGAGGAATGGATTGGATGCCAATTGGAAAACTTCTCATCACATTGGCAATCATCATGACCCTGATGCTGCTGACATGATCGATGACGACTGTCTTGATGGCCTTGGTGATGATTCTGACAAGCTGAAGGCCGTACGTTCGAAGGGTCCCCAGTCCTTAGGTTAGAGATCGTGGGACACAACATGATCTGCAGCGAGTGCTTGGTCCCTCTGTTGTCGGATGCAGATGAGTGTGTTCGATGTGTCTGACAGGAATCTCTCACAGGGCTTCTCCCACTTCCATTTTCCAAGGCATCACCGCCACCCATATCCCCGGTTTTCCTTTCTTCCTCTGCCTTCCCTTGAGATCTATCACATTGCCCTGACCCACTGCTGGGCTGGGCCCCCAATTCCTTTCCGCTGGGACCAGATCTCTGTGTCAGGAACCTCCCTTCTTCTGTGACCCTGTCTCGGGACACTGGTCTCGAGCTTACCAGTCCTTGAGAATTCCGCAGGCGAAATGCTGTCATCGGCAATGGCTGATAATGAAACCCTAATGATGTGTGGGACCTCGGGGACACAGTCCCAGAGAAACTCTTGGGCCCCGCATCAATTTCAACAACTGCTAGCTCAGAAGCAATTGCAGACACAGCCAATGCAACTGCTGGAGATGAGGCCTGCTCATGAGACCATTCAACCCGCTGTCCGACTGACAGGCTCGAAAGCGACAAACGCCTGGGCTTACCATCTGTGCCTGTCCGCAGGATACTTGTGCCCTCCAGTGCATCATTATCTGGACTTTGTTTCTCAGGGCCATGCGCTTCCACTACCTTGACGGCATTTTCGACAGGGATTGTGGAAGGCAATCCGTCACCATCCAAATTCACAACTTGCGGTTCTCCAGTAACCCGCTCCACATGAGTAGGTTTTAGCTTCAGTGAAAGGTGCTCAAGGTCTTTCCCATGCTCTTCAGCGGACAGATCTGTACTTGTGATTCTTAAGCTGTCTGCAGATTGATTGCCTGAAATGTGTGTTTCAGGCAAAGGAGAAGTTTCAGCAGGTTGCTGCTCACCGGCAGGACTTACGGCACCATGATCTGGTTTGTCTGTGTTGCCTTCAGGGGTAGGTTTTTGATTCACTGAAAGTTGCTCAAGGTCTTTCCCATGCACTCCATGCAGTCCTGTGGACGGATCTGTTCTTGTGATTTTTAATTCGTTTGCAGATTGATTGCCTGACAAGTGTGACTCAGGCAAAGGAGCAGGAAGTCCGGTGGGTTGGTGCTCGCCGGCAGGACTTATGTCACCGTGCTCTGGTTTGTCTGTGCTGCCTTCAGGGGTAGGTTTTTGATTCACTGAAAGTTGCTCAAGGTCTTTCCCACGCTCTCCTGTGGACATCTCTGTACTTGTGATTCTTAATTCGTCTGCAGATTGATTGCCTGAAGAGTGTGTTTCGGGCAAAGGAGCAGCAATTCCGGCAGATTGCTGCTCGCCAGCAGGACTTTCATCCCCATGCTCTGGTTTGTCTGTGCTCCCTTCATGGGCCACAACTCGTGACAAAGGTTCTTGTGGATTCGCTACGATTGGATGATGGCGTACTGAGAATGCTTGACTCGTTGTGCCCAGTGAGTGCATCTGAGTTTTGGTCTCAGCTGCAGGCTTCCCGCCAGTGAGGTCAAAAACTGAAACGGAACCTCCGGAAACGATCCTCATGGTTGTACTGAGAGGTCCAGTATCTGCAATGGACAGAGCACCATCCTCAAAACCATCCCCGTCCAGTATGTGAAATATGCGTCTTGGCTCACTAATGACAGGAGTTGATGTGCGCAGTTTGTTGATCGGAGAGCTGGGTGCTCCGGACTCCCTGCCATGCTTTGTGATCCTAGCCCCAGCAACCACTACATCATGAGCATCCGCCACAGTGTGTGAGGTGTAAGGACGTGACTCATAAGCCCAAGTACGGCTGCCTGACTTGAGCTCTGAAGGAGACCTTGCCGAAACGGCTGACATCCTCTGACCCACAACCTTCATGGTTGTGTCTTCTGGATCTACTTGCACGTTCAGTCCACTTCCCTTCTGTCTCCACAGCACGGAAATCAGGGATGGTGATGAGCTACGAGGCTGATTTGCACGTGATTTCGCTGTTCCTTTCCCAGCAACATTCAGCTGCACATGACGTGAAGCTTGAGCCGGCAGAACATCGATAACTGACCTACGGTCAGTAGTTTTGTACACCCCCTTTCTACTCATATCATAAGTTTTGAGTGTGGTGGCATCTTCTCGGCTCATTATCGGTTTGCTAGAACCAGCGACAAATCCCCCTGCCAACCTTAGATCAAGTTCGTCTCTTGCTGTTGACGGTCGAACCCTACCCACGCCTGTTCCCTTCATGCCTGACTTCCCGATAATCCTGCTTTGGGTGCCTAATTCAATTGTTCCGCTTGCAGTGGCAGGTCTGAAATTAAACGTGATAGTGGGATTCTTTGCAGACTTTTCATCGGGAGTCGATTGTGTCAGCTCTTCAGCACCTTCAGAGATAGACCCCTTCGTTCCTTTCTCTGCTTCCATGGAGCCTGAGAGCTGCTGAGCACCACTTGCTCCCAAGCCCTGTCCTGCTATTGGCTGGACCTGCACTGGTGCAGTCAATGGCCTTGGTCTTGTCATAGGAGATTCAGCAGCAGCTTCTGATTCAAGACGTGGATTTAGACCCTGCGTCTTTGCCATGTTCCTGATTTCTCGCAATATTCCAGAAGCTGTGACCGCGGGAATCTGTGGCTGCTGGGATACACTCTGCTGCATTGGCAAACTCCCAGGGAACTGTGTCTCGTCCTTGGCTAAACCTGACATGCCTCCCAGCAAGTCCGGCCTGCCTTCTGGGGAAGCGGTCTGATTGTCTGGATTATAAATGGCTTCCAACAGCTCGGATTTGCCATCATGGGCAGCTGTATGATTGTCTGGATCAACTGGGGGTGAAACCATTTCTGGTGACAGTTGATGAGGCAAAAGCTCCATGCCTAATGCATCCTGACATCAACGTGAAGGACCTGGGGTGAAGTGAGTCGAAACTGAATATTCACTCAACCTCAATGAGGGGAAAACATAAAGCTTTTTCAGCAGGGGATCATAAGAACATGCGCAAACTAATAGGTAAACCACTTGAGGAACAAGGATCTGGAAATTGAAGTAGGAAGACATGCTGCCAGAGGAAAAAGACTGCTCCTTTTTTTTTCTTTTTTTTATTAAATACAAAAAACAAAACCCTAGGGTTCTGGCTCCATATCAATTCTGGGGAGCACCAGTCCGGTTCCTACTCCGGCAAGTCAAAGGAAGATATATCAGTTACTCACGCATGCTCCTCCCCATTATGGTGGGGAGGCCCGAGTGGACAGCATTGATTACTTCCCTTGGGATGGATGTACCACCCCTCTCCCCTGCCTAAGTTAGCCTGAGATTGTACTAAATCGCTAGCTTCTGCAATCATACTCGTTTTCAAACACACTTTTCATGCATGTAAACAGCAACGCAGCATACTGGCGACATGCGCCCACACAAGACTCAGAGATATGGCTTCAGATATGAGTTCACTCTCAATCAGTTATGGCGACTTCAGCGCCCAAACAACTCACTGTTCCCATACACTGGATCACCCTGGATATCCCACACGCATCCCTCTAACACTCCAACACTTACACACCCACTCACTACTAATTACAGCTATGGCAGCTGTCACTGCATCTAACCCTAGCGCTATACTAACTTCCTCTCTCTCTAGCCCACTGCGTCCTCCGGGCTCATCTGCAGACCTCCTGCACAAGTCGCTAGGCAGCGCTTCCGCATGGTTCCCCGCAGGAATGAATGAATGGCTGGGCGCTGCCTCTTGATTTATACTTCAGAAACTCGTTGGTCTGCCCTTTGCCATCGTCCCTTGGTGCTCACAGTCCCCCTGTGGTACTTGCTGGACTGGACTGGGACTCTCTAGACTCTTCTACTGACTGTAGGCGGTCGTACCGTCGACTCAGTGCAGTTGCACTGAGGTCCTACCTGTTGACCTTGCCACTTGTCTTCGTCTGAAAACGTGAGCCTACCTTAGACTCACCACTTGACCACTTGCCCACTTGCCTACCTTCTAGAAG